AGATTATAAAAAGGTGCAAATTTCCAGTGATGAATGTCATTATATTGTATACCTAAAATGTACCAATATAATTAATTTTAAAAAAAGAAATTCATGACCACCAAATCAGCACTCCAGAAAATCATCAAGGATGTTAGAAAGAGACAATGAAACCAACAATGCCAAAAAATCTAATAGAATGAATATACCAGGCAGTGTGAGCAGTTACACAGAAAGGGGAAGGAAAAAAAGGAAGTCAGCAACAGGAAAATAAAGCAATGATAGCGGTAAGTCAATACCTTTCAGTAATAACTCTCAATGTGAATGCTCTCAATTCCCCAATCAAAAGACACATATTGGCAGAATGGCTCAAGAAACAAAACTCAATGATATGCAATATGCAAGAAACACATTTGTTTCAAAAAGAAATTCACAGATTAAAAATCAAAGGATGTAAAGCATTATTCCATGCAACAGGAGCCAGGAAAAAAAAAAAAAAAAGCAAGAGTAGCAATCCTAATGTTAGATAAAGTGAATTTCAAGCCAAGTCTGATCAGAAGAGACACAGAAGGTGACTACATATTGCTTAAGGGAACAATTAAACAGGAAGAGATATCAATTATAAACATATATGCACCAAACACCAGTGTTCCCAACTTCATAAAACAAACACTAATGGACATAAAAAATCAGATAAATACCAACACAATTATAATGGGGGACCTCAGTATCCTACTGTCACAAATAGATCTACTATCTACTAGACAAAAAAATCCACAAAGAAATATCAAACTTGAATCAAACCTTTGAACAAATGGACTTGATAAATATCTAGAGTGTTCCACCCAACAATCACATAAAACACATTTTTCTCAGCAGCACGTGAGACTTTCTCCAAAGTAAACCAAATGCTAGGCCATGAAGCAAGTTTAAGTAAATGCAAAAAAATCAAAATTATACCATCCATATTATCAGATCATAGTGCAATGAAACTAGATCTCAATAGCAAAAGAAATCACAGAAGTTACACAAATATATGGAAACTAAACAAAGCTGTCTTAAATAATCAATGGGTCACAGAAAAAATTAAAGAAGAAATTATACAGTTCCTAGAATCAAATGATAATGCCAGCACAACATACTAGAATTTGTTGGACACAAAGAAAAGGGAAGTCCTAAAAGGGAAGTTTATAGCTGTGAATGCCCATATCAAAAAAAAAAAAGAGTGACTCCAAAATAAATAATCTAATGATATACCTTAAGGCCCTAGAAAAAGAAGAACAATCCAAATTGAGAAATAGTACAAGGAAGGAAATTATGAAGATCAGAGCAAAAATTAATGAAATTGAGACTAAAAAAGTACAAAGAATCAATGATTCAAAGACCTAGTTCTTTGAAAGAATAAACAAAATAGACAAATCCCTAGCCAATATTTCCATGAATAAATAAATAAATAAATAAGAAAGAAAAAAAGAAAGACCTAAATAAATGCAATTAGAAATGAAAAAAGGTGAAATCACATTGGACTCTGCCAAAATCATTAGTAACTACTTCAAGAACCTATACTCTATAAAATGGAGAATTCAGAAAAAATGGATAGATTCCTAAGTGCATATAAACTACCAAAGCTGAACCAAGAAGATATAAAAATCCTGAATAAATATTAGGCAATGAAATTGAACAAGTAATTAAAAAAACTAACAACTAAAAGAAAGCTTAGGTCTTGATGGATTTACTGCCAATTTCTACAAAATCTTTAGAGATCTAATGCCAATACTTCTCAAACTGTTTAATGAAATCAAAAGGGAAGAAGTCCTCCCAACGTCATTCTTGGAAGCTAGCATAACCCTGATTCCAAAATCAGAATAGGTCATAACCAAAAAAGAACACAGTTGCAAAAATCCTCAAAAAGATAGTGGCAAATAGAATGCAATAAATTATCATACACCATCACCAAGTGGGATTTATCCTAGGGATGCAGAAATGGTTCAACATACTCAAATCAATAAATGTAATACACTACATAAACAGAAACAAAACAGCATGGTATTGGCAACACACACACACACACACACTCAGTGGGTTGATGGAACAGAATACAGGGTACAGAAATAACTCGGCACATTCAGCTACTGGATCTTTGACAAAGAGGCCAAAAACTTAAACTGGAAGAAAGCCTCTTTTTTCTTTTCAAACAAGAAGTTTATTTAAACAACAAGACACTTGACTTAAAGGGAAAACTATCTAGGATTCTTTTTCTTTTAAAGAGTAATTTACTCCTACATAAAGACAGATTGCCCTACATGTAACAGCTACGTACAAAAAAGTTATAAAAATTGTCCTTGGTTTTACAATGATAAATGAAAAACATTAAAATTCTCCAATCAAACAAGGTATGCAAGGATTTTTACGTTGTTGTCTTTTCTGTTAAAACAGTGAGAGCAAAATAACTTACTGGAATATAAAGATAAGAGCTGATGAGCATGCCACTAATGGAGAGATGGAATTATTTTCACAGAACCAGTATCTCCCCATCCCGTCTCCATCTGAGGTCAATCAAAAGATATTGTTGGCCATTTAGTAAAAAAAAAAAAAAGCGATATGCTTGTCCACATACACCAGATACTTTATGTACAATAAAGGAATGGGGAAGGGGTAAATGAAGAATAGAGAAAACTATACTGTAGTAGTCAGGATGTGGTGGAACCAAATTGCAGTTTTCTAATTGAGAATGTATTCTTGGTCTGTAAGAACAGAGTTCTGGAGTAGAGTTGTTGCAGGTTCCCTTTTTAGTAGACACCTCCTGTCTGCTGCTGGAACACATCAATTGTATCTTCGTCCTCCATTTCCAACTGTGCAGGTGTGTCTGTTTCATTGATTGGCTGTCCATCAAATCGGAATCTGATCTGCCTCATCAACAAACCCTGTCGTTCACAATAGGCTTTCATTAGTTTACTAAGTGGTGTATACCTCTTAATCTTAAACTGCACCACAGAACCATCCCGCCCCGCCACCTTCAAATTAATATGATCATTGTTCTCAGTCTTGACTCCTTCCTTGGGCTTTTCATCAGCCATAGCGAGCGCCCAAGTCTTCTCAGCTGCCACTTGACAAAAGAGGTATCAGGTCCGCACCAAATGAGCACACAAGCAGCTCCAGGAGCGGCAGAAGGAGGCCAAAAGCCTCTTTAATAAATGATGCTGAGAAAACTAGTCATCCACATTCAGGATAATGAACCTGATCCACATCTCTCACTAAGTACTAAACTAAAATCAAAATGCATCAAAGAACTAAATGTTAAAACAGAAACACCTAACCTGATAGAAGATAAAATAGGTAAAACTCTTGAAGACATAGGTGGGGCAAGGACTTTCTGAATAGAACTGCAATTTCACAAGAAATAATACCAAGAATCGACAAAAGGGATCATATTAAATTAAAAAGCTTCTCCACAGCAAGGAAACCACCAAGAGAATGAAGAGACAATTTACAGACTGGGAAGATTTTTTTGCCAGCTATTCCTTAGACAGAGTACTATTATTTAGAATATATAAAGAACTGAAAAAAATCAGACCCCCCAAATTTAAAGACCCAATCAAAAGATGGGCATCTGAAATGAATGGACACTGCTCAGAAGTACAAATGGCCAATGAATACATGAAAAAAAGTTCACATTGAATGGCCATTAGAGAAATGCAAATTAAAACAACACTGAGATTCCATCTTACTCCAGCAAGAATGGCTACCATAAAGAAATCAATAATAAATGTTTGTTGTGGGAAATAAGGAGTCCTTCCACATTTTTGGTGGGAATGGAAATCAGTATGGAGATTCCTTAAAAAACTATAACTAAAAATTTCATTTAACTGAGCTATTCCCCTTCTAGGTATCTACCAAAAGAATTAAAGACATTATGTTACAGTGATGCATGTATACTCATATTCATAGCAGCACAATTCACAATAGCTAAATCTTGAAAGTGGCCTATAGCCGATCAACAGATCAGACAAAGAAATGTGTATTTATACACAATGTAGTACTAGTCTGCCATAAAGAAGGATAAATGTGAGTTATTTGTAGGAAAATGATGTACCTTGAGACCATAATGTTAAAAGAGAAATAAATCAGGGCTGGGGATTTAGCACAGTGGTTCCACCGCCTGCCTCGTAAACACAAGGACCCGAGTTCGATCCCTGGTATCAAAACAAAACAAAACTTGTAAGAAATAAATCATACCCATAAGTTTAAATATCATATTGTTTCTCTTATCCAAGAGACCAAATATAAATAAAGAGCAAAAAAAAAAAAAAGTAATAGGAAAAAAAGAGAAAGTTTCCTAGAGGTATTCTTGGTTTATTAATCAAAATATTGTGATTTTATTTCTGCATTTTTGTAATGTTTTGTGTAGTATTTGACAGCTTTTTAAAAATGCATAGGGCCAGGGATTTAGCTCAGTGGTGCCGCCACCTGTCTCACAAGCACAAGGTTCCGAGTTCGATCCCCAGTACCAAAACAAAAACAAAAACAAAAACAACTAAAAGTGCATAAACTTTAGACTCACTAACTGGGGTTCTTTCAGAGAGGTTGAAAAGAAGGAAGGACATTGGGGAAAAAAGAAGAATCAAGATATATCATGTATAGGTAGAAATTCCCTATGATCAATGAGATCATTATATATATCTAAAATGTACCAATAAAATTAATTTAAAAAATAAAAATTTTCAAAGGGAAAAAAACCACTGTATTTTTGCCACGTAAATTAATGTTTGGATGTGGAAATAAAAAGCCAAAGGACATGGTTTGAAGAGCTTCTAGGCTGCTGAACACATGGATGTGCTGAGAGGGTTGCAGGCCCAGAGAGGACACAGAAGTTCCATGCCCCACCCCATACTTCGCCCAACCATCTCTTCATCTGACTGTTCATATATATATATATATATATTTTTTTTTTTTTTTTTTTTGTACCAGGGATCGAACATGGGTCCTTGTGCTTGCAAGGCAGGCAGTGGAACCACTGAGCTAAATCCCCGGCCCTGACTGTTCTTTTATAATATCTTTTATAATAAATTATTAAAAGTAATATGTTCCTCTGAAATCTATGAGATATCATAGCAAATTAATCACATACAAGAAGGGGTGGTAGGAACTCTGGGTTTTAGCCAATTACAGTATGAGTGACAACATACTTCAGACTGGTACTGGAAGTGGGCCAATCTTGTGGGACTGAACCTTAAACCTGTGGGATCTGACACTATTTCTAGGTAGATAATATTAGAATTGAACTGAGTTATAGGATACCAAGTTCGTGTCTGCTCAAGAACTGTTTAGTGTGTGGATAAAAATCCACTTATCTCATCACAGATGCATTCTATGCTGTTTATGAGAGTACAGTGAGAAAGACATTTTGGCTTGAAATCTATGGTGCACTGAAGATAACTATAGCAAAAAGAAAACCCAAACTCAACTACTGTCTAGATTAACTGAACTCTACATATAAATGGCCTAAGAGAAGAAATGTGTCCATTCCTCAGAATAAATTCCATTTACCTTAATTCTACTATTTATTTACACACAATGTTTAGCATCTAACAAATAATGTAACTCAAAAAACAAGAGAAAGATGACCCATTGTCAAGAGATTAAGTATTCAACAGGACCAGATACAGAGATCCCAAAATGTTGGGACTATTCAACAGAGACTTTAAAATAACTATGATTAATAGTTATTGTAATAATAGTTACATTGATTTATATATGATTTTATATTTTGTATAGATTATATATTATTATATAACAACTGTTAATCCTTGTGTTAACATAAATATTAAAATAACTACTAAAAATTGTAATTTTTAAATCTAGTAGAAAAAGTAGATAGCATGCGTAAGTGTTAGGTGCTTTCAGCAGAGAGATGGAAACCATGAAGAAAAATCAAATCAAAATTCTATAAAGAAAACACATAATATCTAAGATGAGGAATTCCTTAGATAGGTTTATTAGTAAACTGAACTCAGCAGAAAAAGTCATGAGTGACTGTGAAGACAGGTCACTTGAAGTAATCTATGCTAAAATCAAAGTGGAAGAAATGGTGAGAAATAAACAATTGAGTATATAAGAGCTATTGGGAAATAGTAGACATTTTAATGTACATGTAATTAGAATCCCAGATGAGAAGAGAAAGTTGGAAGAAATTTAAAATATAATGACTGATAATCTTCCAAATTTTCTGAAAGACAGCAAACTATACATGTAAGAAGTTCTGACAATTCCAAGAAGGATAAATACAGAGAAAAACACCTATACACACATATCAAAAAACCTGCTAAAATACAAAGATAAAGATAAAATATTGAAGACAGCCAGAGAAATGAGAAACATTATACACAGAAGAGCAAAGTAAGGCTGACCAACTTCCCATCAGAAACTATACACAACAAAAGACAATAGTGAAAGCTCCAAAATGTTGGGAAAACAAATAAACAAAGACATAAAAATCTGTCTTTCTAGAATTCCATACCTAGTGAATATATCTTTTGAAATAAAGGTAAAAAAAATAAGAAAAAGATTTTTTAAACAAAAGCTAAGAGGATTCATTGCCAGCAGACTTTCACAAGAAAGATTAAAGACATTTTTTTTGACCAAAAGAATATGATACTAGGAAGAAATCTGGGATCATATAAAGGAAGAGTACTTAAAATGGTATAAATGTTGGAAAAGTAACACATTTTGTTTTTAACCTTCTAAAATATAATTGACTACCTTAGGGAAAAAACAGTAAGAATGTATTGTGAGGTATATAACACATGCAGATGCATACTATTATTTTTGCATACTATTATTTGATAATAATATCATAAAGAATAGGAATGGGCATGGTGCTTCACACCTGTAATCTCAGTTTTTCCAGAGGCTAACACAGAAGGATCACAAGTTTGAGGGCTTCCTGGGCAACTTAGTGAGACCCCATCTCAAAATGAAAGTAAAAAGGGCGAGGGATTCCACTTAGTGTTAGATCACTTGTCTGGGACGCGTAAGGCCTGAAGTACACTGTTGTAAGCATACTTATAGTGCAAAGTGTTGTAATCTTAAAGAGTACACTAGAATAAGCTAAAGATTTAATTGCAGGCTGGGGATTTAGCTCAGTGGTGCCGTTGCCTGCCTCACAAGCCCAAGTTCAATCTCTGGTACCAAAAAAAAAAAAAAAAAAGATATAATTGTAAACCCCAGAGCATTTACTAAAACATAAAGATAAAGCAAAACCAAAAGAATAAAACTAATAAGCCATTAATAGAAATAAAAAGAAATAAAACACAATCCATAAGAAGGCAAGGAAAGAAGAAAAGATTATTGAGAACAAATAAAAAGCAGGTCTGATGGCACATGGGTATGATCCCAGCAGTCTGAAAGGCTGACACAGGAGGATCATCCTGCCAAGGCAATTTAGTTATTTAGCAAGACCCTGTCTCAAAATTTAAAAAAGAAAGGGGTGGGGGTGGGGGAATAATAGATGTAGCTCTATGCAAAATCCTCAAGTTCAACCCCCAATATGGAAAAAAAGGGAACAAATAGAATAATTTATGCATATAAAAATTACATTAAACGTCAATGGTGTAAACATCCTTAATAAAAATCAGAGATTGTTAGATTTTATAAAGAGCCAGCATGGTGGCATGGGCCTATAATTTCAGTTATTTGGGAGACTGAGTTAGGAGGATCACTGGAGCCTAGATGTTGAAGACCAGCCTAGGCAACACAAGATCCCGTCTCGGGCCTGGGATTTAGCTCAGCGGTTTTGTCGCCTGCTGCGCAAGCGCAAGGACCCGAGTTCTATCCCCAGTACCAAAAAAAAAAAAAAGATCCTGTCTTAAAAAAACAAGTCTTAAAGAAGAGAAAATGCGAAAATAGTTTTTCTATTAAGATGTACTTTAAATTTAAAGACAATGAAATAGATTAAAAGGATAAAGATATACCATGATGCAAACTTAAATAAAAGGAAACCTGCAGTGGCTATATTAATATCAGACACAGTCGATTTCTGAAAACAGAATATTACTGAGAGCTTTCATGGCAGTTGTAA